GATAGATATATTATTTCATCCATTTGATAGATATTACCAGACTCTTTTTTTCAATATCCTAAATACTTATTCTCATGCGTTAATTTTTTAAGTAATGCAACTGCATCAGCTACGCATCCTCAGCATACGCATATTCTCTCTTCCCCTCTCTCTCTCTCTCTCTCTCCCTCCCTCCGCAATCTTAGACTGTCGAATCGTATATCGCGTACGGAAACATAAATCTGACAGTCGTAGGAATCTATGAACAAAAGTGGAGCCACTTACATGCGCGTAAAGCAGAATTTATGAGAGACGCGGGAATATAAATGCGCGACGTAATAAATTCCCGTCTTGGATGCCGGGATATGTATGAGTAAAAGGTGGAGGGGAAAGAGGGAGATGGAGAGAAAAGAGAGCGGTGTAAGGGTGGTTGCGTATAGGAGCGTGTAGAGACATGCAGGAAAATCTTTCTCTCCCGATATGTGGGTCCCGAAGGATACTAACGATACCGTTCAGAGCTTTCATAGACTCCAGGGACACTTTAAGTATACGAACTAAAAGCAACCCCATTACTTTTCCGTTAGCTGTCGCACAAACACTAAATAATAATATTCCCTTTTCCACAATGAGATGGTACGTTTTTACTAATCTATAATTAGTTAATAATGTTAATATAACAATTTTAATACAAGTACCAAATTATATCCTGCTGAGAGAATACAAAGTACATTACATTAATATTATAAAGATTATAATATTTCTTTTAACAATATAAATGTAGTATAAGACATATTGTACGTAAAAATTATATTGTTAAAGGATATTGCAATATTGAAGTATAGTATTATATTATTATTACTTCACTAGGATGTTTTTATACATATTATATACAAGTATATCTATAATAAAATACCATATACATTTTTCCCTCTGCATTTATTCGTATATTTCTTTAAACCAAGTCTTTGTAGGTATTTTATAGAGATTGAATGAAATTCAAGATCAATTATAAATTTTCTCGGCGTGCCGTCACGTGACACAATTTTATTCTTACGGCTTTTTCCATGAACTTTAACCGTATAGAAAATCGAAAGCGCATGCCCGCGAAGGGTGAGGGAATACTCGAACTTAATCGTGGCGGCAGGCCCACCCTCATCTTCGATCCTGTTCGATATCTTAACTACTTTGCCCGACGCGACTTGGCCCCGATTTAACCGACCGCGTGCGACAACCCCTTCCATCGTCCCGGTTCCGTCTGTCTAACTTACGAGCCCTATCCTATCATCCCGGACGCCATTTGGAGCGGGAACTTCGCGATGAGATGCATGGAAATCGAGTCGCTTTAATAACACCGATAGCTGATAGCAATCGCAGCATCCTCGATCGAAAAAATCATCAACTCTGCGACGTCTGAAAAACGGTGACTTCCCTCCTTACCCTACCACACGACTTCGTCGTATCGGCTCTCTCATCTCACTTGCTGCGAGGTAAACAATCGACGCCACAACGAATCTTCGAAAGTTGGTCAGCTGTCGGCGTTGTAACACAAGATGTCACTCGCGAACTTTCCTCTATTAGATTTTTTTTATAGATCATATATATACATTTTTTCAATTAAATGTTGTTTACACCGTTAGAAAATTGGTATTAAATTTGACACATTTCACATGTCCCAAATGGTTCACTCAAATTTATGTTTAAATTTAATACAATATGAATATGTTATAAGGTTACAAACACAGTTTGTAAACAAACCATGGAAGCATATTTTTGTTCAATAAAATTAACATTTATTTATGGACATAGTAAATTAACACATATTTTATTTATATATTCGTCTTAGAAATTATGTTTTAAAACACACTCTCTTTATGTTACTTATTCACTAACTTTTATTTTGACACTAATAAGGAATGTTGAACATCAATTTATAGTAAACTATTTAAATAACATAATTATATATTGTTTTAAATTAACACTCGAACAAACTCAATACAAAATTTTAACGAAAACTTGAGTGGACCGTCTTCAATATAAATCTGAAATGTTTTTTGCTGTATATTTGACAATCTTATAGGAATTGGATCTCGATTGCATTCGCAATTGTAATTTGCAATTTACTTTTATATTTTAGATGAAAGTTATGTTTTTATTAAAAATGAGGTACAAAGTAAATATAAATCAGAATAAATATGTATATATTATTGAAGTTTTCCGAACTGAGAGAGAGAGAGAGAGAGAGATGGGCTTCGATTAATGTTAGTCAAATTAATGCTATCGGCATAACGGTAGTTGCTCCTTTAAAGTGAGAGTATGTAATAACGAGTTGCAGAACCACAATAATCACGATGCGAATCAGAATTCTCATTTCGCAGTCGCTTTGCCGCGCATTCGATTTAATTGTTCGATATATGCGAGGAACGATTAAAACACCGTAAAACCGCCAAGCTGAAATACCGAATTCACGGAATACACGCACACAGACGTGCGCGTCTGCTCGATTTTCCATAAGGTCGCTGGATCGGCCGAGAACGGAATTGCATCACGTAACCGCTCCCTTGATATTGCACCGCACACCCACGGATTCGATTAATTTTTTACGATCGTCCAATCAGTGGGACGGATGAAACCGCTTGAATTAACCGTTCTATTAGAAGCTTTTTGGTCCGGATCGATCGTAGAACGTGATAACGTCTTACGATAAGTCATTCTATCCAAACTACCCGCTTATTACACGATTAAAATACTTCATTCCTATGAGAAATGTTGTGGTGTAAAATTAAATTAAAATGAAAAATAATTTATTTAATAAATAATAATATATTATTATTACTATTACAGTGACAGAATTTCTCGCAAGAGATTCCCCCCTATGACAATAATATTAAAAAGTCTACCTATTATTGCTTATCGCAGACAGCACATTTGTTTAAAATTAATTTTCGATATAAAAATATTATTATAAGAGATATGATGTCTATTAAAATATTCTAATATTACTGATTTTGACATGTGTCTAGTTTGGATAATTTTTAAAATTGCAATGAAAAAAATTTTTTAAATTCAAAAATAAAATACCCTAAAGGACTATACACAAATAGCTATATCTATAAAATAAAACTATGTGATCATAAAACAACTCTAATACTATTACTACAATTCTTTTTATAGGATAAATATAAAAAAATCAATAAAAAAGATAAAACCTATTTGACTAGGACTGCATAATGATATATACAGTTTTGTACAAAAGTATTAGGCACCTTTATAACTATACCAAGCTATTTTTAATTGTGGTATAGGCAGATAAAAATAAAACTACAATACTTTTAATTAATCAATATTTATTGCTTTTATTAATATTTAGGAGGTCCACATTTACAACTTTAATCCATGCACGCGACATTTAATTCTTTGGATTATTTCAAACTGAGATTTGCTCTGTTTATGTAAAAGTTGAATCAGCAAACGCTGTTGTGCATTTTTTACTTTTTTGGGCATTATTTACAGAAAAGAACTCAACTTTCAAAAATATAAGCAGTAGAATATGAAACTGACGCATATATTTTCACTACGAGTACCGACAATGGAATAATATAATCTTCATTGAAAAAAATACAAATATATGATATTCTCAATTGATGCCCTCTATCATTTTATTACTTCAATAAAACCATATCTGTGTTTAGGTACATTTTAGAGTAAACATATCATCCAACGAATCATTGATAAAAGAATAAATTTTAAGAATGTATGTCGGATATAACTATAATATTATAATTTATAATATTATAGTTATATCCAGGGAATGGAAGTAACTCGTTACTTGTAACGAAGTTACAGTTACAAGTTACTTTTTTGGTAACTTTACTGGTAACTGCGTTACTTTCTTTTTTTGGTAACTGTAACGGTAACGAGTTACATTTTTTGGGTAACGGTAACGAAATTTACAGTTACTTTTGTCGTTACTTTGCACACGATTGAACACGGTTCGATTGGATACATGCTATTTACAGCGCTTATCAATAAGACTTGAAAGCCCTTAGATATTCGGCCGTATGATTCAGTAATTATTTTACACTTCTATCTTCTATGTAATACATAGGACATACAAATATTTCAGTTTGCTGCATATTTTACAGGTTTTAGAATTACAAAATTGTGTTTAAAAAAAATTAAAAAATAAATTAAATAATAGTAAAATGAGAAGGGCTACGAACCCAAAAGCGAAACAGTTTAAAAGACGATGACAATAAGTGTCGAAACGTCGTTTGTTTTTATCTTGTTTTATCCATGTTGTTGTTCTAATATATATTTATACATTTAATTACATTGTCATCGTCGTTCTTATCGGAAATAAACTGTTTCATTTTTGGCTCGTAACCCTTCTCATTTTACTTTTATTTAATTTATTATTTGAGCCCCATTCTACAATGTTTTTTTTTTTTTAATAAAAATATATATATTTGTCAGTATTACATATAAAAAAAAATGCAAAAGTACATTTTTAAATTGATTTTAAAAAAGTAACGGAAAAGTAACGAAAAGTTATTTTTCAAGTAACGGTAACTGTAACGAGTTACTTTTAAAAAGCGATAACTGTAACTGTAACTAGTTACATTTTTTACTCGGTAACGAGTAACTGTAACTAGTTACTTTTAAAAAGTAACTTTCCATTCCCTGATTATAATAATAAAAGTGCCTAATACTTTTGCACAAGAGAAGCTGTATTGAGCTGTATAGTTCTACTAGTGCCATCTAACGCAGACTCATGAAAAAGTAGCAGCAAGAATTCTAGAATAACCGATAATGTAGCGCTCTTGTGCCTCATTCCTAGTTATTTTTTTATATTCATAGATGTATGATCTATTCTCTCTCTCTCTCTTTGTAACCAAACTAGTATACGTTATACGCTACTAGTGTACTTAAAATATGAAACAGATGTATATTTGAAGCTTGGTGAAAGTGAAAAAGAAAATTTCAGTCCAGTGAAACCAGTGCAACAACAAAGAACAAATTTGCGACTGATTGCCGGCACGTGGCATCATATTATGCGGCATGTGCCCTAATTCTGTTATTACTTTACAGAGTTTTGTGTTATTGAGAGATCTGAAGGAAGGAAAGTAAAATATATTCATCATTCTTAAAATATGTACTTGAAATAAGACTATAAACGATTTGCAATTATGGTGATACCTAGTAAGTCTGCACATACAATGTATTATTACCTGTTACAATATACTGGCAGAATTAATATAACGTAACATTATAATATGTCTGTTTAGAATTTAAAAATCAAAGCAAGGAGGAACGTATGGTAATAACAATTGGAGAGATAATACAGGAGTTATTAAAGGCACACAATGAAAATCGAAACATTGATCTAAATAAATTAAAGACACGAATTTCTTCAAAATATGGCTTGGATTCTTCCCCAAGATTGGTTGATATTATTGCAGCAGTGCCTAGTTATGCTAGAAATATACTTGTACCAAAATTGAAGGCTAAACCTATCAGGACTGCTAGTGGGGTTAGTTTTACTTGTATCATAAAATCTGTTCTTTGTAACTGAACAAACATATCTTTGTACTTAAAATTAAGTAAATGATTTAAAGTTTGGTAAAAGAAAAACAGAAAGTTTTAATATAATTCAGCGCTGAGACGAAAAACAGATTTATTGTATAACAATCTTTGCAAACAAAAAATAATTGAGATATTACAGATTGCAGTTGTAGCAGTAATGTGCAAACCACATCGATGTCCGCACATTAATATGACAGGAAATATTTGTGTTTATTGCCCTGGTGGTCCAGATTCTGATTTTGAATATTCAACTCAATCTTACACAGGATATGAACCTACATCAATGAGAGCTATACGAGCAAGATATAATCCTTTCTTACAAACTAGACATCGTGTTGAACAGGTAAAGCAAGTAGTCTCATTGTATCTCACATAATTTATAATCTTTCAGTATTTTGTAAACATATAATCATATAAGTATGAATGTATAAATGTATATTACGCTTTTAGTTGAAGCAGTTGGGTCATAATGTTGACAAGATCGAATTTATTGTTATGGGTGGTACTTTCATGTCTTTGCCAGATGACTATAGAGATTATTTTATACGAAGTTTACATGATGCGCTCTCAGGTCATGTAAGCAATAATGTTGACGAAGCAGTGAGTTATTCGGAACGTAGTACTACAAAATGTATCGGCATCACTATTGAAACTCGACCAGATTATTGTCTCAAAAAGCATCTCTCGGATATGTTACGTTATGGGTATATCTTCTTTTAACATAATTTGAAATTATAATAAAATTTATGCAGCTATTTATGATAAAATTAAAATAAAATTCGATAGATGCACACGTTTAGAAATTGGTGTACAATCGATATATGAAGATGTAGCACGTGATACTAATAGAGGGCATACAGTACGCGCTGTATGTGAAAGTTTTCAACTAGCAAAAGATGCTGGATTCAAGGTGATAGCTCACATGATGCCAGATTTACCAAATGTCGATTTGGAACGAGATATCGCTCAGTTTAAAGTAACGTTTTACTACATGTGTATAGAACAATATTAACTTATTCAATTATTCCTTTTTTTTTTTTATTGATACAACTTTATATCAATTTTTAGGAATTCTTCAAAGATCCTGCATTTCGAGCGGATGGATTAAAAATTTATCCAACATTGGTTATACGTGGCACCGGCTTGTATGAATTATGGAAAACTGGCAGATATAAAAGCTATGCTCCAAGTGTATTAATCGATCTTATAGCTCGTATTCTAGCATTGATACCTCCTTGGACTCGCGTTTATCGCGTACAACGTGATATACCTATGCCATTAGTAACGTAAATATAATATTAAATTACACATACAAATAATGCACTTATAATAAATAATGCTATACATCATTTTTTTTATATGAAATATAGTTCTGGTGTAGAACATGGGAATCTACGTGAATTAGCTCTAGAGAGAATGAAGGATATGGGCACAGACTGCCGTGATGTTAGAACGCGTGAAGTAGGGATTCAAGAAATACATCATAAAGTGCAACCTTACGAAGTAGAGCTTATACGACGTGATTACGTAGCAAACGGCGGATGGGAGACATTTCTGTCATACGAAGATCCCTTACAAGATATTCTAATTGGCCTACTCAGATTAAGGAAATGTTCGACCAACACATTCAGGTATAATTTTTATACCGTATCTACTACCATTTTTTTCAGTAATACTTTACATTATGTAAGTAATATTTATTTTTAATCGAATACAGTTAATATTAATAACATACTTCTTTACACAACTAGTTTTTATTTTATATTTTATTTTTATTTTATTTTATTTTGAATTTTATTTTGTTTTACTATTTTATTGAAGCAGTATTATCTAAAATATTTAATTGTGTGTGTGCTAGCTACATTTAAAAATAATAAACTAAATTGTTGTTAATTAAATTCAATTATATATGGTAATACAAAATATTCTATCTCTAAAAGCTCTTTAATGTATTTCATTATTAATAAAATATATTTTTAAGATATATTTTAATATATATAATTTTAGTTTTTATTTTCAAGAGATATGATTTTCATATCTTAAAATTTGATGATATTTATATGTCTAAAGAGATGAATATAACTTAAATATAAATATAAATTAAATAGGTTTTTAAAATGGGTTATTTGCAACTTTAATTTTATATACAATTTTTTATAAAAGACATATGAAATGAAGGAATTGAATGTAAGATATTTTCAAGTTAAAAGTATTCATATAAAGCTATGCATTATTCTGACATCTTTATATAAGAAGGTGTATATTTTAATATTGTTTATTCTTTTTGTAGATCGGAATTAAAAGAAAAAACTTCTATAGTTAGAGAGCTTCACGTTTATGGCAGTGTAGTACCTGTTAGTGCTCGCGATCCTACAAAGTTTCAACACCAAGGCTTCGGCATTTTGTTAATGGAAGAAGCTGAACGAATCGCAAAAGAGGAACATCAATCTCATAAAATTTCTGTAATTTCAGGTATGTTATATAATATAATGCTTTTATGTAAACAAAATTCTCTCACATTAATTATTAAATTACCATCATAAACTAAACAAAGATTTAAAAATTAATATTTTTGCAGGCGTTGGTACACGGAATTATTATAGAAAATTAGGTTACGAACTTGATGGTCCATACATGTCTAAAATGCTTATATAAGTAATGAAAATAAATTTGTAGAAAAAGATATAAAATATAAGAAAATAAATAATTGAGAAAATAACTTTTCAAAGATTGAAAGAAAGACAGAGACGTAGAATAAATATGTAAATATTACATATAAATTACAGAAAATTGTAAAGTAACGCCCACAAAAAGCTAAATCACAAGACACAGTAGTATCTTGTGCTAAGCAAGTAAATAAAAGTGAAAAAAGAAAACTGTATAAAAAATAAACTGTATAAAAATAATAGAATCCTGTATTTTTTAGAATAAAAATTAAAATAAACCCAAGTTCAAAATATAATAGTTTTATTCAGTGTAATATAATATTTATATATTTTCTGAATTAAAATTGATAAGATATTTTTTTAATTAATAATAAAATACATATTAAAAAAAAAGTTTAGAGAGACACAGAATATTTTATATTATCTACTATATGATAAATAATTAAATTTAATTAACACACACATTAAAGTAATTATTTTTAAAAGTAGCTAGTAATTATAAAAATTTTGATCATGCTAGTGCTTTAATAAAATAGTATAAAACACATTATATTTTAAAATAATATAAAAGCGTGACTTGCATAAAGAAATGCGTTATTAATATTAATTATATTCAAAATTGCAATTTAAGTATTACTTTATTTAAATATTGATGCTATTATTTCTGATTTTACTTAAATATAGATACACTATTATTCCAAAAAAAAAAAATATATATATTTGGAATTCATATATGAAAAAAATTGTAATCCTAATACGCATATATATGCGAATATAGATGTATATAATTTTAAACTTTCAACATGCGTAAGATATACAAAATTAAGAAACGTTATATGTTTCCATCTATCGCTCTTCAAATATTAGAGAAAAGTACATATAATTGTTTTATTTAGCGTAGCAATGACTCGCATATGTATACAATAGTAATATAAAAAAATCATTAATGTAAAAGAATTAATATACTGACCGTAAAACGGCATATTCGATGATCGCGACATTGGCGGGAATAGACGTGAAGATCAATGCCAAGCGCACAAAATCGGACTCAATGCTAACCGATGTTGAAATTATGCCGTTAAACGATTACTCGTGACACTCGATGTTCTACGATGAATGATTATCTCCGCCGGAGATACTCACGATAATTTTTCACACGTCGGATTATTTCAGATAAGAGGCCGCGCAGAAAAAAAAAGAACAGAACTAAGAATAAGAATTTCAATTCATCAGAAATCATGTACTATGGAATACACCCTGTTTATTTCACGATATATGATTTCTAATAGGTTGAAATTCTTATTCTCCATTCTCTGTTCCCTGTTTCTTTTACTCTGCGCAGCCCCCTAATAATTGCAGAAAATGCGAAGCGATTTGATTTGAATATGACTACGCGACGCGTTCAACATGGCCATGGTGTTCTTAAGAGAAGGTGAATCAACGCGCATAATGGCTGCCAAGCAATAAGACAGCCAATCAGATTTCTGTTCAAAATGCGGCACGAAATTCAAACACTGAATTGATACGTCATGAATATGGCTACGTTCCGGTAGACTACACTAGTCTGTTGCGGGACTCTCTAAACGTTTTTCCGATAATTGTTGTAATCGTTAACTAGCGACAGCCAATGAGAGCCGCGCTTTCTTTTAGGATTGCCCTGCCATTGGCTGTCGCTAGTTAACGATAGCGACAATCATCGATAAAACGTTTAGAGAATCCCGCAACTGTTCTTTTTAGCGAAAGTTCTCGCACGATTCGTTTTTTCCTATTCTCTCCATATTAGAGAGAAAAAAAGAGAAAATAAATCTTGCAAGTTCAACTAAAAAGAACGAGCCTTTGTCTGAAAATCTCTAGCGCGCGGTACAAATTATTCGATTTTCAGCACTGACAGTGAATATCGAAACACAGGGCGCGTTCGACAGTTGATAGTGATAGCCCGCTGTTATTGGTCTATTTTTTTTTAGATCATTCAATCAGAATTTTAAATCTAGAAGAATGCACCAATAACGGCGAGCGCTTGTACGACCATACACGTTTGTAGTGGTAAGCTTGTATTAATATTACGTATCGCATTTATATCCAAGGTATCGATCATGAAACATTTTCCCTAGGATGAAAAGTGAAAAGTGAAAAATTTCTCCATTAACTTCGATGGTGAAAATTTGCACTTTTCACTTTTCATCCTAGGAAAGGAGTTTCATGATCGATATCCTGATTGGGTGATTGAAAAGTGATCCTCAATCGTCAATCACAATGGTTACGTTCAGCAGAAAAGGCAGCTTTGCAACTGTTGTAAAATTCTTGAATATGATTGGCTTATACATTTAGCCATGTAATAAGGAAATAAAGGCAAGACCAATCATATTAAAGAATTTTACAACAGTTGCAAAGCTGCTTTCTCTGCTGAACGCAGCCAATCGCTCAATCGCTAGTGTGATTACGGCTTTAAGCAAATCGACCAATCACAATCAAGTTTACGATCTCACATTTTAATACGCTGGACTGTGATTGGCCGATTTGCTTACGGCCTTATGACTAAATTTTTCATACGTGTTATGGCCTTAAGATGTATTATTTCCTTTTTTAAGTACGTCGCGAGCTCTTAATCGTTCTTGTCGTTAGACAATAATCTTGTCGTTAATTTCCAAGTTCCTGTGTGTCATAGCCAATTTTGCCGATACCATTATTATTGTTGTCATACGCACGCGATTACGTCTACACGAGTTCCTCGTAAGCACATTCATTTGAGTTTGTAACAAATTGTCTTTAAACTTGAGTCAGATTCAGTGATTAACCTTTCACTGCCGACTATAAGCATTTTTCCCGCGCCGCCTTTCCATTTCGCCTTCAGCGAATCATCGTTGGCGTTATAGAGACACGCACGGCGCAATGTTGTTGAGCAACACGAGACACGTTAGCCCCCACAAAAGATCGATTAATTTTATTTCTTATCTACTCTTACGTGTGTTTAATAATGTTAACAATTTTACTAATTTTAAACTATGTTTTAAAACTTTATAAATACGAAATGTGTATGTAAAAGTGACTCTTTTATGATCCTAGTTATTTATAAATTACTCACTCATGTCAATAATGTCCAATATTATTTTTTATATTTTAGTGGCTAATTACAATAATTAATTTTTAATTATGAATGATAAAATCGAGTGTAAATCAAGTGATTGTCAAGAAACTTCTCAAAAACGACGGTCATTATTATCGCTCTTATTTCGAATGGGATCATTCAATACCTTTTCAGAACTTTCTTGAATTCTAAACTTTCAATGATGTTTTAAAGGGCAGTATGGTATACTTTTTTTATTTTCAAACCCTTCTCGATTATGCAAAAATAATAAATTACATTACGGAACGATATCAATCACATATATTTGAATAAACATACATAATAATTCGAATTCTAAATTATGCGTATCAGAGATTTTCGAGGGACACACAGCAGCGGTCTTCAATTTCCATAATCTGTGGCGCGCGAGATTAAGGTGGTTTTACAATCTCGAAAGATCACCTCGCTCCTGGCGAAGATCAAACCAGATCAAACCACCGTAACTCCGTCGCTGACTCGAAACCACGGAGGCGGTCAAAAGCCATCCTCTTCTACCTGTTGTGTACCTTTTCTCTCGCCTCCCGAAAGACATTCCCTTTCCCCCCCCCCAGACTGTTACGGTAAACAAAAGCGAGTCTTGTCGTCGTAGAACAGTGTCGTGGACGCAGGTCGGCAGGTGGTGTAAACGCCAGTGTAACGCGTTGTATGTATATACTGTACGTCTACAGGCTCGGTCGTTTTGTGCGTTTACGTCGCGGATCTCCCGGATTTTGACTGATCGAGAGAGAGAGAGAGAAGGTGGCAACCGCGTGACTCGACCGATGAGATGTGGTGGACGGACACGTAGCCTGACGGGACCGTCGACGCCGAATGGACAACTTAAGTAAAGAGAAATAAGGAGGACGGAGGTGGCCGACGACCCGCGCTTAGGCGCCCAACGGACTCCCGCGGGAGTCTCTCGCGTCCTCAGTCGCGTCCTTGTCAAAACTCAGTCGAGAGGCGAGCCAATCCGGGGGAAAGGAGGAGTCGCGAGGAAGGTAAGGGACACCTGACTCGTGACGGGTTTCCCAGCCGACCGTAAGCGAGAGGACGAGGACACGTAATAAACTCCCGACTCGGCGAATCCGGAATAAGGTTATGTTTTTACGCGAGCGTCTTTTTTTCTTTTTTTTTCTTTCTACTCGAGACAGAACCGCGCGTATCGCTGTTCGATAATTGCGACTGTATTCCACGTAGCGCGCAATCAGGAAGGATTTTCACAACTTTTTGCGATCGCTATCATTGTGATTGCGCTGCAATTGTATTTGATGAGGCGCATTTAAAAGGCGACTAGCAGCATTCACTTATTATGCCGTGTCTTGCGTGAGACTTCGGAGGAATGCGTGTGAGAAAATCTCATGAGAGCAAGTCTTTCACATATGTATACGTAACAAAAACACATAAGAAACGATAGAGGGACTTGGGCATTTCAACATTTGGCATCAAAAAGTATTCAAGAATGTGTTACGCACATTTTTCGTGCAACGTGTTAATATTTTAATAAATAAAAGTTGCATAACATATTTGTATTTAACAATCTATTTTTTTTTTCATTTATTATTTACTTTGTTCTCATTATTTTTATTGCTATAATTTATAAAGGTAATGCCGAAAAATCTCATTGTTTTACTTTAAGCGTTTAAAATGATTTATGCAAAGTTATCGCGAGACAGCTGTTTGCAAATAATTACAATAGAATAAATTAATATAATTTATTTGCAGAATAATTAATCATTGTAGTAAAATTTTTTACACAAATCGTACTGTATAATTAAAACATTGATATAATTTGTTTTGAGATTTATATATTATTATTTCTTAATTACACTTTATTTATATTATCTTAATTATTTCCATTGAAGCACATACAAAAACACACTTCTACT